GGTGTGCAGAAAGTTGGAGATATTATGTCCACTTTACAGAAAAGAAGCTGAAGCTCTGGGAAGTGAAGCTACTGGGTCCTGATCCCACAACAGTTCAGGAAACCTTAATGCCAATCCAAGTCTGTGACTTCAAAGCCTTCTTGTTTCCTAGCAGCAATCTTAGGTTCTTATTTTATGTGTTTTAGAGACAGGATCTTGCTCTGTCACCTAGGCTGGAGTGCAGTGGTGCAGTTATAGCTCACTGCAGGTCTCAAACTTCTAGGCTCAAGCAATCCTCCTGCCTCAGCTTCCCAAAGTGCTGAGACCTCAGGTATATACCATCATACCTGGCCAATCCTGGGTTCTTCAGGCTGGGATCTGATGCCCAGGTCCGCAGATGATGACCAGTAAGGTTGATGTCATCCAAAGAAGGTCAGAGACGTTGCGTTTGGTCTAAAACCCCACAGGGACTGTAGAAGTGAGCATCCTACCTCTCTCTGTGTGTGTGCCTCTTTGTCTAGCTAAGAAGTGTCAGGTCTGGAGTGATTTCTAAAAAGCAAAACTGGCCGGGCACGGTGGCTCACACCTATAATCCTAGCGCTTTGGGAGGCCAAGGTGGGCGGATCACTTGAGGTCAGGAGCTCAAGACCAGCCTGGCCAACATGGTGAGACTCTGTCTCTACCAAAAATACAAAAATTAGCGGGGCCTGGTGGTGGGTACCTGTAATCCCAGCTACTTGGGAGGCTGAGGCATGAGAATCACTTGAACCCGGAAGGTGGAGGCTGCAGTGAGCCGAAAATGTGCCATTGAACTCTAGCCTGGGTGACACAGCGACACTCTGTCTCTAATAATAATAATAATAAGCAAAACTTACAATACCATGTACTCCTGTGCACACATACACAGACACAGGGATGCTGCATGACGTGGAACATGAACATACATGGTCAAGCTTCCCATTTCTCTACACCTCCTGCTTTGCTTTCTCTGGTAAGTAGAGCAAGGCCTCCCTTAAAGCCTTCGATGGCAGTACTGGGGTTACATTAATGTGTTCCCTCCTGCTCGTTCTGCAGGGGGCAGCACTGGTTAAAGGGAGCCACTGGAAGCGGGCTATGGATCCCACTTTCTGTTACAACCATAGAATTCTGTGGCCCATAGAGTCAGGACAAGAACCTTGACCTCTCATCTTGGCTCAGGGCTTATTCAGAGTCTATAGTTTGGTCTGGGAGAAGCTCTGAGAGGAAGATGCATGCTTGCTATTTTTTTACCTTCTTGTTCTAACGCTCTCACCCTCCCAATTCCTTGATTTCTTCCGGAGTCTGTTGGAGGGGCTGAAAAGGCAGTAGCCCAGACAACAAAATCTCTTTTGTGCCTGTGACCTGGACGGTAGTGACCCTTCCTCCTGCAAATGGAGGGAAGGAGGGGTGCGGAGGGACAGCGCCCTGCCCAATGGACGCTCCGCCTGGCAGTCAGTGACACTTGCTGCTGTGGGGTCGTGGCCTTAGATGATTTCTCTCTCTGTAGACTGACACACTATTAGGAATGGAAAGTGCATTAACTCCTCCAGAGAGAACATGTAAGGCTGAGAGAGAGAGAGAGAGAGAGAAAGAGAGACAGAGCGTGCGAGCGAGCGAGCTAGGGCATGTGGGGAAGCACAGTCAAATCCCCGGATGAGGTCACTGCCAGGATCTGATCAGGTACCAGCGACAGGAAGGAGTCAGAGGTCCTCTGCACTGCATGCACATCATCTCCTGAAAAGTCTTCAAGGTCAGTGTTTCCAGTGGCCCAGCCAGGCCCCCGATTTATTTTGATGAAACACTTTTGGCAAGAAGAGACAGGCAGGTGACAGAAGCAAAGACTGGGATCCATGGCTTTCTCCTGGCTCTCCTGAATTCCCACGGATGGGTCTTCCCTGCTCAGCTCCACTTACTAAGGGTGGTTGGGGCTGAAGGTGATGGACTTAGACTGCACCCATATCTACAAGTGGAGGTCTCCAGTGGTTTGAAAGACAGCCCTGAAACCTGCTGAGAGAGAAGGCATCCCTAGCATTAGGAGGCATTGAATTGAGCAGGAGTTAGAACCAGCAGGACATATGAAGTCACTGCAGGCTCCTGTGAAGATTGAGAAGGGCTTGGACGTGCAAAGAGAACTCAGGGGAACACTGGTTTTTGTTTTTTGCATTTTTTTGAGATGGGATCTCACTCTGTTGCCCAGGCTGGAGTGCAGCGGCACAATCATTTTTCACAGCAGCCTCAAACTCCTGTGCTGGGACCACAGGCACATGGCACCCACACCCAGCTAATTTTTTAATTTTTTGTGGAGATGGGGTCTCACTTTGTTGCCCAGGCTGGTCTCGAACTCCTGGCCTCAGGCAGTCTTCCTGCCTCAGCCTCCCAAAGTGCTGGGGTTACAGGTATGAGCCACCATGCCCTCCTGGAACACTGTTTTTTGTTTTGTTTTGTTTTGTTTTGTTTATCAATGTAAAAGCTTCTCCTGCGAAAATCCTATTCCACCTCACCATTCACTCCTTCTCTTATTGATCCATCCAGGCCATCATTTAACACTAACCATTTGGGTCAAGCTTGGATGTGGAGAAAGGGGAATAGTTATACACTGTTGGTGGGAATGCAAATTCATGCAACATCTATGGAAAACAGTATGGAGATTTCTCAGAGAACCAAAAACCAAAGAACCATTTGACCAAGCAGTCCCACTACTGGGTATCTACTCAAAGGGAGATAAATCATTATATCAAAAAGGTACCTGCACTTGTATGTTTATCACAGTACTATTCACAATAGCTAAGACATGGAATCCACTTAAGTGTCCATCAATGGACACTTAGATAAAGAAAACATTGTGACCTGGTGCAGTGGCTCACTCTAATCCCAGCACTTTGGGAGGCCAAGGTGGGCGGATCACCTGTGGTCAAAAGTTCAAGACCAGCCTGACCAACATGGAGAAACCCTGTCTCTACTAAAAATACAAAATTAGCTGGGTGTGGTGGCGCACACCTATAATCCCAGCTACTCAAGAGGCTGAGGCAGGAGCATCGCTTGAACCCAGGAGGCAGAAGTTGCAGTGAGCCGAGATGGTGCCATTGCACTCCAGCCTGGGCAACAAGAGTGAAACTCCATCTCAAAAACAAAAAACGAAAAAGAAGAAAAGAAAAGAAAATGTGGTATACATATACAATGGAATAGTATTCAGCCATCAAAAAGAATGAAGTCATGTTTTTTGCGCAACATGGATGGAACTGGAAGTCATTATCTTAAGTGAAATAGCTCAAAAACAAAAAGTCAAATACACATGTTCTCGCTTAAAGTACACACGTGGACATGGAGTGTGGAATAATGGACATTGGAGACATGAAAGTGTGGGAGGGGGTGAGGGATGATAAATTATCTAATGGGTACAATGGATGCTATTTGGGTGACGGACACACTAAAAACCCAGACTGCCACTGCACAGTATATCCATGTAACAGAACTGCACTTGTACCCCTTCAATGTATAGAAATAAGAAACAAAGAGATGTGGATAATACAGTCCCTGCTTTCAAGATGCTGTCATCCTTGAAAACGCATGGATTTAGGAACAAATATGGAAGTGTGGTAGGACAGTGCCTCAGATGAGGCCTGCTGGAGCTTGGAGCACTCTGAGAGTCCCGTCATGAGCTGCTGAGCAAGGCAACTCTCTCTGCAGAGGGGCTACAGAGCGGGGTCTTGCATAAATGGTATTTGGGCAGTAGAGACAGGGGAGGGGCTTTGAGGCCAAGGGACTCGGAGCAGCCAGGCAGTGGTTGAGCCTAGCATTGAAGAGCAGGGCTCCCTGAAGCAGGCAGGAGCAGAGGGGCCCCTTCTCCCTCCTCGTCTCCCACCCCTCCTGGTGTGCAGGCCTCACCCTCCAATCTCCTGGGGGTGTGCTTGGAGATCTAGCCCATTCCTTGATTCCTGGCAGACTTTCAGACTGTGCTGGAACCTCCAAACCCGTCTCTCAGATCCCAGGGCCCTTGGCTCAGCTCATCTGCTTTTGCTTTCTTGACCGTGATTTTCTGAACATTCCTACCTCTTGGCTTATCAGTCTGCAGGAGGCTGTTTCGCTTTGCCTGAATTGAGACTGACTTCATATTTATTATGTGGTTTGGCTTCAGAATCAAGACAAGATGTCAGTGCCAAGCTGCCTAATGGCCGACATTCGCATGCGTTAAAAACCTAATAAAATATCGCCTCCAAAATTTCAGGCCAAATCCACTTATGTCAATATCTAGCATCAGGTCTCACCCAGAATATCCTGTCGGGTTTCAGGAGTTGGGCTTGAAATCTTCCCCAGGCTGTGGGAACGGCGCACATCATGCTTGTGTGCTGGACTTTGTTGGGGCTAGACCATGAGACAGTTCATGCCAGTCACATCTCTGGTTTTCTCAGAAACTGTGTTGAAGCCATGTAATATCCCTTATGTGTACTTCTTAGAAAAGGCTGAACCGTTTCTTTTATCTGCTAACGAAGCTTGTGTAACCTCGCAAGATCTCCCTCTGCAGAGTCCAATTCTGTGCCCAGCAGTAGAAATTCGTTTGTCTCATAAATGCCCCACCCTCTTCAATGGACTTTGTCTTACTTAAGTTCCTAATCCCCCTATTCGGTGCTATGTTGAATTCCGTAAACGTCCGCTAAACCTTTAGAAGTACGTAGAATATAGAATAAATTAATATTTTCAGTCCAGGATGATGTTACAGACTCAAATTTTCTTTGGACCCAAGGACACATGTCTGTTTTCATCCATTAATTACATGCCAGGAGGGAGGGGGCTGTGTGGCTTTTACATCCTTGCTCGCCTGACTTTCATGAAAATGCTGTTTAGGAATAAATATTTTTCAGCCCAGAGTTGATCTTCCCTCTTTAGCCTCCCGGGAGAGCAGTATCTGCACTGTACTTTCTCATTACTCTCCTAGCCCTGTGAGGGTGTCTTTTTAATTGTATCGAAAATGACATCATCAGCTGAGCAAAATGTATCTCTCCGGCATGCACCTGCCAGTCATCCGCAAGAGCCATGGGGAGGTAATGCTTTAGAGAGAGGACTCCCAGGGGAGAGCACTTAGGGAACTTCCAAATGAAATGAAAAGCCAGTTTTGTGTCTCCGAGCATATCACTGGGGCTGGAGAGGGACTTCTTTTACTTCCGGCCAATAAACGCAATTTTAACCCCAAAGAACCAATAGGCAGGGACAGGTGCAAGGAGGAAAACTCCTATAGTGAATGCAGTGGGTATTTCTGAGCGGACACTGGGAGTAAGAAAGTGTGCTGTGTAGGGTAAGGCTGCTCAAATAAGTTTAATTCCAAGGGAAGTGGCCTGCATTCTATTCCCCTCACCGTGTAGTGATGATTTATTCATGGTTCCCGAGATGAAGGATGACAGCTCACCCCGAAGGGTATTTAGATTCTGATCAGAGAAGATCTTTGTCAAAGTGAGGAGGGGATAATTTTAATAGGGATTCAGTTACTGATTAAGGAGAAAGGGGGAACCCTCTTTTGCTGAGCACCTCTCATGCACCAGGTCCCTTGTGAATGATCATTTATTGAGTCCTCACGACAGCTTTGGGGGGGGTAGAGGTTATTGTTGCAATGTTCAAAGTGAGGCAGATGCTGATCAAGGTACACGTCAGCTAGAACTGGCTTTCAGAGCCCTGAAGGCTGACTGCAAATTCACCACCCAGATTCCACGAAAGAGGCACTTAGGTTTTAGGAAAGTCACAGCACAGTCATCCCTTGGCATCCACAGGGCATTGGTTGCAGGACCCTGCTACGATACCAAAATCGTCGGATGCTCAAGTGCCTTCGATGCAGTCGTTCCTTCTTATCTGTGGTGCCACTTTCCGCGTATCAGTTATCCACAGCCTGAAATGATTCAATACAGGATTCCAGAGTTAAACCATCTGTAGGTTTTAAATTGGGTGCCGTTCTGAGTAGCGTGAGGAGATCTTGTGCTGTCCTGCTCCACCCTGCCCAGGACAAGAATCATCCCTTTGTCTGGCATTGCCACACTGTATAGACCGATGGTCCCCAAGCTTTTTGGCACAAGGGACCAGTTTTGTGGAAGACAGTTTTTCCATGGACCAGGGTGGGGAGGGGCAAGGCTGGTTTCAGGATGAATCTGTTCCACCTCACATCATCAGGCACTAGTTAGAGTCTCATAAGGAGTGCACACTCTAGATCCCGCACATGCGCAGTTCACAATAGGGTTCGGGTTCCTGGGAGAACCTAATACCACTGCTTACGTGATAGGAGGCAGAGCTCAGGTGATAATGCTCGCTCGCCCACTGCTGTGCGGCCCGGTTTCTAACAGGCCACGGACCAGTACTGGTCTACAGCCCAGGGATTGGGGACCCCTAGTGTAGACACTCCCCACCTTTAGTCAGTTAGTAGCCATCTCGGTGATCTGATCAACTGTCTCAGGATGGCAGCACTTGTGTTCAAGTCAACCTTATTTGATTTCATAATGGTCTCCAAGTGCGAGTGTAGTGATGCTGGTGTTTGTTAGAATTGTTGTATTTTATTATTAGTTATGGTTGTTAATCTCTTATTCTGCCTAATTTAAAAATTATACTTTATCATAGGTATGTATGTATAGGAAAAAAAAACCCCAATATATATAGGGTTTGGTATTACCCATGGTTTCAGGTATCTACTGGGAGTCCCTGGAATGTATCCCCCAGGAATATGGGGAAAACGACTGCAAAGTGTGATGTTATTTGCATGTAACCCAGACACATCCTCCTGTATACTTGAAATCATCTCTTGATTACTTTTTTTTTTTTTGAAATGGAGTCTTGCTTTGTTGCCCAGGCTGGAGTGCAGTGGCACAGTCTCAGCTCACTACAACCTCTGCCTCCCGGGTTCAAGCGATTCTCCTGCCTCAGCCTCCTGAGTAGCTGGGATTACAGGTGTGCACCACCAGGCCTGCCTAATTTTTTTGTATTTTTAGTAGAGACGGGGTTTCATCATTTTTGCCAGGCTGGTCTCGAACTCCTGACCTCAGGTGTTGCACCTGCCTTGGCCTCCCAAAGGGCTGGGATTACAGGTGTGAGCCACCACACTCAGCCAATTACTCTTAATACTTAGTGTGATATAATGCTATATAGTTGTTATACTATATTTTTGTGTTATTATTGGTGTATTGGTTCTTATTTTTATTTGTATTTATTATTTTTTGTTTTGAGATAGAGTCTTACACTGTCACCGAGTCTGGAGTGCAGTGGCACAATCTCAGCTCACCGCAACCTCCGCCTCCCGGGTTCAAGCAATTCTCCTGCCTCAGCCTCCCAAGTAGCTGGGATTACAGGTGTGCACCACCAGGCCTGCCTAATTTTTTTGTATTTTTAGTAGAGACGGGGTTTCACCATGTTGGCCAGGCTGGTCTTGAACTCCTGACCTCATGATTCACCCACCTCAGTCTACCATAGTGCTGGGATTACAGGCAGGAGCCACCACACTCAGCCTGGTTTTTTTGTTTTTTGTTTTTAAGTATTTTTTGATCCATGGTTGGTTGAATCTACAGATGCAGAACCTGTGGATACGACGGGTTGACTATACTATTATTTTTTCTGTGACTTAATCTTAGAAGTGATACATTATTATTTTTTAACCCCCTCTGAACTTGGCTCTCACTACCATCCTGCTAAAAGGCAAGCTTTCCCTTTCCAATCTGATGGCAATAGAGACACAGTCTTCGAATGCCAGCCACAGCCGAGGATAGCAGATGTCCTACGAGCCACCTCTTCCGTCCATTACACTGGAAAGGTAGCAAGTGGCTGATCCCTGTGTTCTTGGTTGACAGACACTCTTCTCTGCTCTTCCTTGAACATTGAGCCAATGGAATAATTCAGTGTGCAGTGTCATGAAGATATCTAGTTTGAGTTGGTCCTGGTGTCATTTGGCCCCGTGAAAGATACCAATCTGCCAATGTGCCATGTGATCTTGTAGAACATACCTCACCTCCCAGTGAATGCACAGGCAGTTTTTATCTGAAATAGTGATTTATTACTCACTGCAGGACAAGATGGGGTCATCACAGAGTCTGTAGGGCAGGCCTTTTTTTTTTTTTTTTTTAGCAACAACAACAAAAAGAAAATGTAAGTGGCAGACCAGATGGCCATGGAAGATGGAGCTTGGAATCCCGAGATGTTGCTTCGTTTATCATCCCCATATTTGCTATAAATATCTCAGTATTTGGGCTGCGGAATTGGCAGTCCTATCTGGCAGAGGCAAGTTGAGCACTGCCTGTCTTTTTGTGTTTTCTCCTCACCGAAACAGTTATCATTTCATTAATGCAGAGAGGCTTGCCAGGGGGAGCCACACTGGGCTCACGGTCCTGGTGACATTGCCCTGAGCAGGCTGGAGTCTGGGGTTGCTTTATTCATCAGGAAGCCTCCCTAATGAACACCTGCCCGCCTCCCAGAGTCCCCAGGGATCCTGAATAGAGCAGGCTCCCCAGCCGGCTGGCTGACTTGCAAGCACTTTGCATTTCTAGAGGAGCAATCATTATGTACGCCTGTCAAAGCCTTCCCATTGGGCATCATTCAAATGCATGGATGAGAAAAGCCTCCCTCCCACATGGGTATCAGTCCCAACTTTTCAGACAACACAGGGACCAGACGGCATCTTAGGAAAATATGGAAGAAACTATGTGGAAATAAGAAGATGACACCCAGGGAATAAAAGCATAGAGGGGAAGGAGAGGGACAAATGGGAAAACTAAAAGCATTGCTCCCAGGGAGACCTCATCCCTGGGTTAAATGGCAGAGTCACTTGGAAGGAGAGAGAGAAGCAGGGCAGAGAGAAGGAGCTATTAAAGGGAGCTGTGACTTCGTTGGTTTGGGGAGAAGCTGGGTGAGGAAGAAGAGGGTACAGATATAGGGTTTGGGAATAGGGACATGACATATCCTTTCCTGGGGACACAAGTATCTGTCACAGGCCCCTTCATGGCTGCCTGGAGGTGTGTGATCTGATTGAAACCCAGTAGCTTTCTGGCATCAGTGAGCACGCGACACCTGGTCCCATCTGGCCCTGTGCAGCACCGCAGTCTCTGCCTGGCAGATCTCTCCTTCAAACCAGCTCAAGAGGGTATCCAGGTTCCATCCTGTCTCATGCTAGAACAACTGCATACGCCACCCTTTATTCTATCCTGTTCTACCAATAGGAAGCTTTCATTAGGGGCACCTACTGTGTGTCAGGGACTGTATTGGGGTGTAGGTCCACAAATATCAATCAAATGTGATTCCTCTCTTCCAGGAACTTACTGTCTGGCAAAATTCTATTGCATTTAGAAAAGGTGGCTTAGCTTTTGACTTTAGGAGAGGCTGTTACTTGCTAGATCTGAACCCCAGCGTTTAAAAGCAAGCAAAGCTTTGTTTAGGAGACCTATTGTACATCGTGGTGATTGTAGCTAATAACAATGTCTTAAATGCTTGAAAATTGCTAAGAGAGTAGTTTTGAAATGTTCTCACTACAAAAATCGTAAGTATGATAGGTGATGGATATGTTTATTAGCTTGATTGGTCAACCCACATGTGTATATACATGAAAACATCATGTCATGCATCACAAATAGATACATATATATATATATATGTATGTGTATGTGTGTGTGTGTGTGTGTGTGTGTGTGTGTGTATATATATATATATTTTTTTTTTGAGACAAGAGTCTTGCTCTATCACTCAGGCTGGAGTGCAGTGATGCAATCTCAGCTCACTGCAACTTCTACCTCCGAGGTTCAAGCGATTCTCTTGCCTCAGCCTTCCAGGTAGCTGGGACTACAGGTGCGCACCACCATACTGGACTAATTTCTTTGTAGTTTTTAGTAGACACAGGGTTTCGCCATGTTGGCCAGGCTGGTTTCAAACTTCTGACCTCAGGTGATCCTCCTGCCTCAGCCTCCCAAAGTGCTGGGATTATAGGTGTGAGCCACCGTGCCCAGCCAGATATTTATATATTTAAAATCAGCACAAGAAATATATTTTTTGTGTCAATTTTTTAAAACTTTAAGAATAAAAATAAATT